CCATTTTGGTAATTGCGCTTGAATCACAAGTGGGCTTGAGGAACATTGACATGGCAAGACGTTGGGCTGTGAAGAAGGATTTAACTTGGTATGTGGGTAATATGGGCCAAGAATAGAAAGCTTGATGAACAGTAACGTGTGAGATGTTTGGGCCGAGAAGTTTGGGCTATAAAGCATTTTTTAATCTACATGGAATAAGCAATTGACTTGGACTATGGTTGGGATAGCTATGATGCATTAGAGGAAGATTGAGTTTTGTATGGATTGTGTTTAAAAATGTAGCAGATAGAGTAGGTTTGGATGACTGGAAGTAACAAATTAGGTGATGCTTATCTACAGGGTTAGTTTGATTTGAATTTTATATTTTAATCATGTGATAGAGTCCTAAAGTTATTAGGATGCCTGTTTGTAAGTTTTTATTTTACTAATAATTTCTATAAATAAACAAAGGGCATGCTGAGATTGAGGTCCAGCACCTTCAGAATCCTTTAATTCTTTCTATATTTATTTCTATATCTACTTCTCCCCCTTTCTATTCTTTCAATTGTTACTATAAATTATTCACTGAAAAGTCATTTTAACGAAGGCAATATTGACATCTCTATCTCTCTCAATATCTCGTTATATCCTTTCTTTCTCACTCTCAATCTTTCTTTCTATATTTATTTCTATATCTACTTCTCCCCCTTTCTATTCTTTCAATTGTTACTATAAATTATTCACTGAAAAGTCATTTTAACGAAGGCAATATTGAACTCAAAAGAGGAGTTTTTCTCCCCCTTTCTATTCTTTCAATTGTTACTATAAATTATTCACTGAAAAGTCAATATCTCGTTATATCCTTTCTTTCTCACTCTCAATCTTTCTTTCTATATTTATTTCTATATCTACTTCTCCCCCTTTCTATTCTTTCAATTGTTACTATAAATTATTATTCCCTGAAAAGTCATTTTAACGAAGGCAATATTGAACTCAAAAGAGGAGTTTTATTATCTTTTCATCCTCGCATTGTCTGAAAGTCAACCTTCCCAAAGAAACTAACGTTGACAACTCACACTCGAACCATACAATTGGATCTAGCGTCAATAAGGAGTAGGTTTTCGAAGGTGTACATGGAGAGCGTGACGGAGGAGGAACATTGCACCGCCGACGACGACAGAGGAGACAGCGAGGTTCAGGTAGCTATTTTTTACATGCAAACAAACAGAGGCTTAGAATATTTTTAAATCTATTAATCTCATTTTGCATATTCCCCTTCTCCCTCTCCTCCTAGTTTCTTCTCTAACTTTAGATGAAGTCATATTAAAACGAAATACTCTTTTCTTATTAACGCCATGTGAGAAAAACAAAATTTATAAAAAAATTCACATGAGATTAACTTATGTTGATAAGTAGAATCCACCACTAAGTACGTTGGTTCAGCTTTAATGAATGGCTTAATTTATAGAAATTCTAGTCAGTAGTGTGTTGATAAAATATCTAACTTTTAGAATTTTCTACAAATATCTATATATTTATAAAAGCTCTATCAATCTTATTTTGTAATTCAAGTTTTTGAAATTCAAACTTTTTATTCATGTTTCTATACCGTATCATTTTCCAAATATAACCATCTAGAATTTACAAAACAACATTACAAGCAACAAGCGCTTACAGAAATGTACAATTGTACATATATACTCACTTATATACATGTTTATATACAATCTTCTATGTCGATATAAAGTGCCCACATCATGTTCATATATTCATTCTTATATAAGTGTTTTCACCATGCATTTTTCTTAGTCTTAACAAAAATGGGGAGGAAACATAAAGTTTTGAGTAAAATAATAACTCCAAAAATAATTTGCAATGCAAACATTTTCATCAAAATTAATAGAGCATAACTAAAGCAAACACTGTTATAGAAATTAGAAGATTAGGTACCACATAACCTGCTTTGTTTTCAATCTTGTCGTTTTAATTGACCAAGATGTTTCCTGTTCTCCCCTCTCATTTTAGATGTAGGAAGTTCAAGTCCCCTTGGCAATCCTAGAGGAAAAAAAATTAATAATTATTTGGTGTACGTGCAAAATGAGAACTTCATGTGCCCAAAACCACCATAGTCGACCTCTTGTTTTCCCGTTCGAAATAATTTTTTGAGCTTTGGATCTGTCTCTAAACTTGTTTAATAAATGGTGGTGATTTTGGTCAAAGCCACAAAGCCCACACAACCTACAAGAAGATTGCAACATCACTTTTGCAAGCCATGATTTGGGCTGGGCCTAACCAAAGACCCACTAACCAAAGTGGCTTGAACATTGGCCTAGCCCACTTACCAAGCCCAAAACATATCACACTGACATACACTGGACAATAGCAAAAATCAAGTTAAGATATGAAAAAGAGAAAAGAGCAAGAAAAGTTTTTAAATCTCAACACTTTCTCGTTTTGACTAAAAAAAGGAGATAAAAAGTTTAGGTTGACTTCTTTTCTCTTCTATATTTCCTTCTCTTTATTTGCAACTTTTTCTTTCTTTAAGTTATATAAATATTGATATATATACACACACATATACATATAATAAATTTTAAAATAGAGTTTAACAGATAACGCCGTGATTAAAAATGGACCAGGGAGTTAGATTTGACTAAGGAGGATCCCGACCACACACAAGGTGTGCTCACATTGTTTCTATATGGATTTTTATTTATTGTTATTATTTTCTTTTGGAATAAAGCAAAAGGAGCATTTAGTTTACAACTTTCATTAACACACGAATCACGAGTACACACATTGTTGCTAAATTATATATATATATATATATATATATATATATAGAGAGAGAGAGAGAGAGAGAGAGAGAGAGGAGGATAACCATATTTTGAAAGTTAGGAGTCAAGGAGATGGCCATTTGAATAATGGAAAATGCAAAGAATTAAGAAACGTAAATCAAAAATACTAAAGGCCATACGAAATATATAATTTAATTATCAAGCTATCTGGTCAAACAATTAATCAGACCATGTTTACCTAAAACAACAGAATGTTCTGTTCAAAGATGGTCACTTTTATTTTTATTTTTCTGGTCAAGTCAGGAAGGCTATATTTTCAATTGTAACCATGTGATTATTTCATATGGCAGCCACAAAAAATAACAACATAGTCAAAGTGAAAGAGTCATACAGAGGGAGCGCATAGGCGATAAAATTTAAGTTACACAAAGTAGAAAAAAAAGCGAAAGCACGGATCGGGAGAGCAACATTCATTTTGAAGAATTGTGACTTAAATTCACATTCTTCATGATTAGATAGACACTGTTATGGTTCCAAATAGTCGCTTTGCATTGTCAAAGAAATCAGAACAAATGAATAGTTGCTTTGTAGGCAGTTAGAAATCTTGGAGCTCCAAAGTTGGTGTTCAATGTGTGAAAAGTTGAAAGCTGAAGAACTAACAAAGAATTTCAGTTTCAATATATAAAAGAAACTTCCAATATGAAGTTTAAATTCATAGAACTTATCTCAAACAAGCTTTTGGAAATCAACAAACTGGAACAATGACATTAATTCAGTATGCAGATGGTATTAATGTCCAATTACTAAAGAAAACAAAGGAATACACACACTCAGCAGCAGCTACCATTTTAAGCTAAAACTAAAAGAGCAATACAGGCAACCTGTAATTGAGTACTCCGTATTATATATTTCAAAACATTATACTCGATTAACAACACCAATATAAAGATATGATAGCTATTAGTTCTACCTCAATGTGCATAATTACAGAAGAGGGCAAAGACAACTCTTCGATTAACAACAAAACTCAAGACATTTTTCATTTCAATAGTATGTGAAATAAAAAATGATAAATTCTACCTTGATTGAGATTTGGTTGCAGAATGACAACAAAGTTCCATCGAGAGTGTATAAATTTATCAATTCCTAACCTACTACATTTCCAAAAAATCCGATTCCCTTCTCATTCTTTTGCTCCTGCTCATTTATCAATTCCTAACCTTCTATATTCCCGAATCATTCTGTTGCTCCTTCTCACTTTAACTTTCACTTATGTTGGAAGATTCATCAAACATACAGGAAAAAAATATGATTATACATAGTAGAGGAATTACCTGAAAACCTAATGAGCTTCCATAATCGTCATTATCTTTATGTAGAACAATCAATATGCCATGACCTATTCAAGACTGAATATGGTTGCTAATTTAAATCAATGCAACAGAATGGCAGCAAGTCATACATTATTTTCATATTCCAGACCATTTGCTAACATTAATTTTCTGCCAAACATGAATAAATCCTATTACACCCACAATTATTTATTAACAGCATTTTTTCTCAGATGTCAAAAATGAATAGATTTGTTAGTAATACCATAAATAGGCTTCATTGGATAGATTTACTAGGCTTTCATTGTGCTTCCAACTCTTCGTGAGCATATGTTTTACATTACATTGGTACTCGTCGTTGCTCATCCTTCCTCCTTGCAGCCACTCCCTATCTCTCCTATCACAAGTTCTTTATCTCTGGTTAACCTCTAAAAGACATTCAAAACTCTGTCCATCTTCTTTCTATCTTAATCCAAAAAGTGCAATGTATAGCTTCCCTACTACGACCCAAATTGGCAGATTGCACTCAAGTGTCTCAATTATTTCCTTGTAAAAATAGCAGCACCTTTACTAGTAACGAAAAACGCTAAAGCACTGAGCACTATAGCCCATATCGCATTAAAGCCGGGAGAAAACCATCGGGTACATAGGTGCAATGCTCCAATAAATTGAAGTAATTTTTTCCAGTCCCCATTTGTAGTTATAGCTTTACCCTCATTATACAAGGTAATAGTCTTTTGATGGCATTATGTTCTATAAAAAACTGAATTTCATATACTATATTACACCTCAAACAAATACACATTCCATGATTAGTCCTCAAATCAATACTTATAGCATGTATATAACGATAATTCAGAGGTAAAATGATTGCAGGCTTGCAGTATCAATATGAGAAAGAACCAGTCAATCATATTACTCTACTAGGATACAGAAATGTTCTCTGCAAAAATTATAGCAGAGAAGGAAAATAAATTATTTTGAACTTAAGCAGTACAAATTATTGTAGTATCAAACATCATGTGAACATTATTACGTCACAACATACCCAACAGAAACATTTACAATCAACCCAAAAAAAGTACAAGATATTTACCTGTTTCAATTGCAACAATAAATTACATGGAATAGCTGATTCTTCATTTCGTCCATCACAGTATCATCAATCAAACAGTAACCTCGATCATCTTATTGGATGCCCGCATCCTTGCAACATCAGAAAGCTTGCTTTCCTCAACTTGTATCAGTCTCAATTGCGGAGAATTCAAAATAAATAACTCAACTGCATTCACCTCAATCCCACCACAGCGCATTATATCAACCCTCTCCAGAAACTTACAACTCTTCAAGATTGAGACCATGGCCGCATTAGTCAACCTTTTACACCCTCTCACCTTCAATTCACCCAAACAAGTACACGAAACCAACATCGAAATCAGCTCTTTATCGAGCAGCATCTCGTTATGAGACAGGTCCAATTTCCTCAACCCCCTCAAATTCTGCCCTAATGTGGTCAGCAACCCCGGTTCTCTTTCGACCACATCGCAGTTTATCAAAGCCAATTCTTCAAGCCCATTACTCATAGCTAACCCTAGACTCTTCAGTCCTTCACCAGTAACAAGACAACAACTCTGCAGCCTAAGACATGACAATCCCCTGAACTTGGAGGCCACGGCGAGCAAGTGATTGTTATCAAGATCAAGAGGTAATCTTAAATCCAGTTTTTGCATATTACACCTGCTTGTACTTATGAATTGAAGCAAACCCTCTTTGCTACCACCATCATAAACCAACAGTGAATTCAGAGATATACAATTCTCAGCTAATATCAATAAAACCCTATCAACAATAGTCCTACAAGTCCTCAATTCCAATTCTTGAAGACAAGTCAAACACTTAAGGAACAATGAAAACAAAGAAGTGTCACCAATACCTTCACAGCTCCGTAATTGCAGCCTCTTAATCTTCTTGCAGCTCCTCCAAAGCCAATTCAGAGAGTTATCGCCGGGTCGAGTCCCGGATAGAGAGAGAGACTCCAATGGCAGTGAAAAGTTGAAATTTTTTCTGATCATTTCATCGCGATGTTCTTCTTGAGAATCGAATTCATCGGAATTCAATTCGTTGCCGGTGAAAACAACAGTGAGGTCTTTTAGGGAGAGAAACGAGGTGATCCAGTGGAAAGAAAGAGGTCTGGAGAGGGATATACTGAGAGAAGTGAGATTGGGGCAAGAGACAGACAGAGAAAGTAGAGAGAAGAAAGAGACAGGGCAAGTGAGGAAGCGGAGGTGTTGGAGATTGGGGCAAGAAGAGGCGACGGAGAGAAGGAGGTGATCGAACAAAGCGGAGGCGGCGTCGTCGCCGGCGGCGGCGGTGAGAGAGAGTGAAGAGAGATAAGGGTAGTGAAAGAGGAAGGAGGAGAGAGAGGCGAGTGTGAAAGTCTGAGGGGAGAAGCGGAGACAGAGGGAGGTCTTGGAGGAGCGGCAGAGGCGGAGCCAGCGCTTGGAGACGAGAGAGGCGGCGGAGGAAGACGACGGAGGGAGGCGGTGGAAGATTTCTTGGAGGAGCTCATCGCAGAGGATTGTGTCCATCTCTGTGGGAAGACTTCTGAGCTTCTGGTTTTGGGGTTGAGTTTGTGTAGTCCTAGAGCTTGTATTTAGTCTTCAGGTACCTACCACACACGCTTTTTGAGGTTGTTTTTCTGAGGCATTTATTTGTTACAGTTTTTATGATTTTGTCTGCTTAAAATATTACTCTGAGGAGATAGAAGAAGGTGGAGTGTTGCCTCATTGGAACTGTTTGAAGTGTAAGACACTTTCCAATCACAATGAAGATAAAATAAGATTATCCAATACTCAATAATGGAGTAACAGATACTATATTTATGAATTAAGAAAATTATTTTTATTATTATTATTTTAGAATTTTATTTTCCTAACTAGACACTCAAACCTTCACAGCCTAAGACTTTTTATTTTAAAAAATTGAAAAAATATCATTAGAATATATTTTAGACAGTTAAATAAATATTTATACACACAAATGTTCACAACAAAGTCACACAGAGCAAGAACGAATTCAAAAATGAAAGCATGAAAGATGCAAAATTTAAGTCACGTACTCATAGAGAATGGGAACAGGAACAAAAATGTGTGAAGCTTGAAAACGAAAGCGTTTGAAGTGTGAAAATAACATTATAAAAAAAAATTGTGTAACTTACTTCATGATAAAACTCTAACCCTTCAGCCTCCACACGTTATATCAATTGGATTAATGGTATGAATTGAGAATTTTATTAACAGTTTCTTTTTAGTAAATTATTTACAAAAAAATAAGAATAATAAAATGAATTAAATTTTTTATATATATAAAATGAATTTAATAATTATTTCAAATTTGGCATGCGCGAGTGGTATTTTTTTTCACCTTGTGAAATGGACTTGCACTCGCCGCCAACCGCATTAATTCTCATAACAAGCAATTGTAAAAGACCAACTGTTACGCCACTCTGCCCACGCCCCCTTGTTCGCGTGACAAATGTTGAGAATATCGTATTTAAAATTTTGTTTTTTTCATTTGATTAACGACAAATTGCAAAAAAAACCCTCTTCAGTTTCAATTTTTGGCAGAAAACCCCTACAAAAAAAGCGCATAAAACCCCAAAAGTATTTTGGTTGTTCCAACACTGCCCCTCTATCAGAAAAATACTTTTATTGGATGAAATTAACCCTCCCAACTATTTGAAGGTTTTTTTTTTTTTTTTTAATTTAAACAAAGTCACTTTAAATTATATGCATATATATTATAGAAAAAAAAAAAAAAAACCTTCAAATGTAATTAGCTAAACATGAATGCATTTGAAGGTTTTCTTTTTCTTTCTTTTTAGTAATTGAAATAAGATCACTTTAAACTTTATGCATATATAATTTTTTAATTCCCAAGGGTTGTTCTTAGGATTTAAAAGGTTAGAAACTTTCACATAATCACATAACAATTTCTAAGAACCTTTAATTCCTAAGAACAACCCTTGGCAATTTTTTTTTTTTAATTTTTAAAACCTATATATGCATATAGTTTAAAGTGAACTTGTTTTGAACATTAAGAAAAAAAAAAAAAAAAAAAAAAAAAAAAAAAAAGTTTAAAGTGACCTTGTTTCAGTTATCAAGAAAAAAGAAAAAAATAAACTTTTAAATGTATTTATGTCTAGTTAATTGCATTTGAAGGTCTTTTTCTATAAAAAAAAAAAAAAGAAAAAGAAAAACTATATATGCATATAGTTTAAAATGACCTTGTTTCAATTATTAAGAAATAAATAAATAAATAAATAAACCTTCAAATGGTTGGGAGGAATAATTTTGTCCCAGAAAGACTGAGGAGTAGTGTTGCAACAACCAAAAAATTTAGGGGGTTTTTTGTCAAAAATTGAAACTAGAGGGGTTTATGCAATTTTCCCTTTGATTAATATTTATACGTATGCATATATAAATGGATATATATTCTGTAATATAAGAAAGGTCGAAACTCCTGGAACCAGAATGAAGCAAACGGATCCTTTACCTGATTCGTTTGTTCTATTAATTTTAGTAGTTTGGTTAAATTCTACTCCCTGTTAAAAAACAAGTGTCATGTTTTATTTTTATTCGGTCTTAAATAAGTGTCTCGTTTTAAAAGTTACTGTTTATGATATTATCAATTTAACTTTTATGATTTTAAAAGTCAATGTACTATTTTTATAATATTACCAATTTAACCTCCATGCACTAAACATGCAAAAATAAGCCATCACATCATTGTGGATATAAATTTGATAATTTATTGACAACTAATACAATAAAAATCATACTTTTAAAAAGTTGAGTTTTCAAAAAAGAATACTATTTTTGAGATCAAGGGAATAATATTTTGAAACCAATCCAAATAAATTTGATTCATTATTGGAAAAGGGGATCAAATCGAACCATATATACACTAGTAAAAATTTATGTTTTACACTTGTAAAAATTTACGATTCTAAAGTTTATGCACGTACACTTGTAAAAATTTACGATTCTAAAGTTCATGTAATTTGAAATTCTATCATTGTGTCGCATTACGGTTTAAAAAAGACTTTGTTTTACAGGTGTGTGGAGAATACAACGGTTAGTAATTAGTTCATACATGTAACAAATTAACCAATAAATTTCGGAGTTTCATGTTTGATTTACTAATTGACATATGGTTGCACCGGATTCCACCATGTTTTTGGTGGTATCTGTTCGAGAGGGAACCTAAATTAGGTGGCCATCTCGTTACTATAAAGTTGTCCACTTCTTCTTTTTCGTTATCCCACAATTTTGATGCTGGTTTGTTGTGCTAGCTGTATAATGAAAATGCATTAAGAATATCATATATCAGTTTGTATTTATCTGCATATTTAATGGCCCTTTCTTAAGCTTCACACGTGTAATTACGCACGCGTGTTAATCATCAAATACAATACAACACACACTATCTCTTCTAATATGTGTATTCGAACGAACGAAAACTATTTCTTTCTAATATGTTACAGCGTTGTGCATTGAAAGAAGGTGGAAACCATTGAATAGATTTTAATTGGTTTCATAATTTCTAGACTATCAAAACATGTTCTCAACCTTTTTGGGTCCCTCTGTTTCGTGTCCTTATTGTAGGAATTTGCTTGATTTATACAGCCCAACAGCCCTGGCCTAATAAAACTTCTATTAACGCACATATTTCATGCATTACAATAACTAAACACATGAAATCCCATTTTTTTCCGTCAATTCATTCATCGTTTCTAATATTCTTTCTATTCAACCAAACAAAAGTGAGAAAAAATATTTCTTTCCAATTGTACAAAACGAATATTTTATTCCGTCATTTCATTCATCGTTTCTAATATTCTTTCCATTCAACCGAACCAAACACGAGTGAGAAAAATATTTCCTTCCAAAAAGAAGTCACCTTCTTCCTTCCTTCCATTTTCAATCCCTTTAACCAAACTTTTGCCATTATACCAAGAGAATCATCTAAATGATGCTACTTCAATGTGGCCTAGCATCTCATCAATGCTCTACCTTCCACAATTTTAGATTCCCAAACGAGTGGACCGGGGAATAACAACAATATAATTTCATCAACAATTCAAAGATACTCCATTATTCAATGAAAAGGGAATTATATATATATATATATATATATATATATCAGCATAAAATAAACTATGCACTTATTATGACAATAAGGTATACAATTATTATGACAATCTTCTCTCCACTCCACTGCAGTTGGAATTCCTACTCAGGTGGGGCAAGACTATGGCTTTTAAAATTGCAGCATCTTATTTGATGATGACAAAAAGAGAAAATTACACAAATAATATTGTGTAGACACCAGGTCTTCATCACCCATCTTTTATTACAATGCACTTTTAACAGCACCTACAAGCAAACACCTTTGTTGACAGTGGTTTCAAATCTAATTTAACCCAAAGAAAACACATCAACACCACCCACATTGCACAAAAAATTTACCTCACAGAAGGTAATGGGTTCCCCCATGGTAATTTGTGAGGATGGCCAATCAGTACAGAACTACAGATTGATAGGGCTGTAGCACCAACCTCAACATATGAAAAGACCTCGAGTTTAATTGCAAATTCCAACTGAAAGGGCCAGTCCTAATAATACACATTCTACGTCGAGGGGAAAACAAAACCATTATATTCTGTTTTGCTGATGAAATAATGCTACAACAAAAAGTGACGAGAGTCAACAACGATGTAGAAAAATGTAAGCACATAATGCCCAGCAAGGAAGGTGAACCATACATATATAGAGGTATGTGGCACTGTTCCATGCCCAAAGAGACTCGAGCCAACTCCAGAAGCCACCAACGTTGACACTGCTGGTACCTTCAACTGCACCTTTGAACAAAATAAATGCAGCTGGAGGAAACCCGATGAGAAGCAAAAGCACGTTACAAGATATCCTGGTGAAAGCCCTCAAAGTCCGACGACTTTTAACATCGAGCCTCAAGGGAGTGGCCATCAAACAAATTGGCACCACAAACAGAGATCCAATTTCTGCTGCGGCAAAGTTAATGATCGACATCAGGCAGAGTCCAATGACAGCAGCTAAAATTGTTACCGATTTTAAGAGAGCCCAATCTCTTCTTTGAGATTGAGATACGCTGATAAGTGTAAAGGGGAGACCCAAGGTGAAGTGCAAGACAATAAGGCTAAACACTGAAAGCATGACCCATATCAAAATGCTGGTTGTTGGAGTGCAATCGGGTATTTGACAGATAAAATAGGGAAGTAATGAAACAACACCACCCCACAAGTGTACAACAAACACCGTTTTTGCTGCTTGAAGCCATTTCCAAGATTTAAAAGTGATGCCAGGCTCATCAACGGAGTCTGGGCAAGAAGTGGTTTTGTCTTTCTCTGAACTGGAATCCAATTTACTGGCATCAGAATAAAGAGAAGCTGCGACAATTGGAAGGGGAGCAATGAGCAATGCAAAAGCAATCATGTAGACTCCAACTGACACAAACTTTCTAGAAGATGTTAAAAGGTACAAGAAGAATGACTGGTGAAACTTCTCAAGGAGGTTATTTACAGACCGTACAACTCCTTCAACCAACCTGCATTAAGAAACAGAAAACTTTAATCCAAGAAGAAAGAGATCCTATACCAAATCATATCAGTTATGGTTCAAAACATCATCACAAGACATAAATGTATTCCCCAACCACCCCACAAACCCCCCCCCCCCCCCCCCCCCCCCAAAAAAAAAAAAAAAAAAGAAGTTACCCATTAATATATCATTTCAATGCCTGCAAAAGAGTGTGCAGCTTGTCCAATAACAAGGCAACAAGTTAAGGGAAAAAAAAAAGTCAGGAGTCCTGAAGAAAAACCCTACCAAGAAAGTAAAAAAGCAATCCAAAGAACTAAGTGATGCTGAAAATAATAATTAATATAAAGATTAGCAGCCACTATATAGCCATTAGTGAAACTATTTCAGGCATCAAAGATTATGTATAGAATTATTTTACCAACAACAACCCAATAAAAATTGTTGCTCAAAAATAGTGAAAGTTGGATATCCAGAAGACATTCAATACTAAACCTTGGCATAGATATTATAATAGACAGCATAATTTGATTAAAAGGAAAACTTATGGTGGAAAACAGAAGATGCAAGCGAGCACTTACCGGCCACCCCGCTGAAGAAAGTCATTTCGCCGGTCCTTGTTATCAAGAGAAAGCTTGGGCAAAATCTCTAAAGTAATGGCATCAACTTGATAATCACGGAAAGCACCATGTGGACCAGTGGGGACACCTAATGCCTAAGCAACAGGAAGAAATGAATTATAAATAAACATAACCAGTTTTCAGTAAAACACATAACATCTTTGGTTCCCTTATCCATCCATTAAGAACTTACATTCAGTGAAAAAAAACTTAACCCCTTCAATCCCTTATTCATTTAATTGGAACTTCAAATGGTAATAAATTCTTCTCCCCAACCACAACACTGAACTCGAAATCAAGGGAAAAGGAGGAGAGGTGACAACCTGGTAATATAATGAACTAGCAAGTGTAGAAGTGCCTTCAATATATTCTGCAACAGGGATATCAAATTTCCATTGGGGGTTTAAGCTTCTAGCCAATTTCCCTAGTGACTCAAATATTTCACCCAGAATCTTGAGCCACTTAGAGTCAAGTAAAGACCTCAATTTTTTCACCTTAACATGCAAACCTTGTCCATGTGCTGCCAAATAGTCCACAACATTGATGAGGTCCAGGTTTGGCATCTGCCCATTGGATGCCTCAGCATAGATGCTAAGAGTGTCCTTCTCTACTTCCTCATTTCTATCTGCAACCTTAATGACAAGAGCAGCAGCCATTGTTCCAGCACGTCCTGAAACATCATATATTTGAGTTCCTGACATCGGTCCCCCTTCTGACTCAAACGGAGTACTGCTTTCACGACATGTTTCAGAATGTAGTTTCCCTAAACCACCAAATAAAGGCGTGTGATAATCCCTAAGCCAAGCAGCAACTGGAGCATATTCTCCATGCCGTGAATCAGCAGCGAGCCATATAATATCTTTGGCGAGCCATGTAACTCGGCTGAGTAAAGAGAATACTGAGTACGCAATACCTAATGACACAGCTTCACCCAAAGTAATCTTAACAGAATTGTAAGGTGTCACCAAGACAATAGCTTCCTTTCCATCACCACGAGGAGCTCTAATAATTCCAACAGTATTGACACCATAAGCTGAACAACTATAGTTCTCGTGGATTATTCCAGGGTCAGGGCTAGAAAAAAAGTGCAGTGGATGAAACTTGTCAATTTGAGCGTAAAACTTGTGATAACTAACTTCAGCACCAAACTCCGCCATACGCTGCGCTATCTGTCTTGGAATTTCTCTGCGCCCAAATATGCATAAGGTGAAAATTAAACTAAATTGAGCACAATATGAAACAATAGCAAATGAAAGAACTTTACTTTAGAATGTAAACCGTAAATGAGTGAGGAAAAGGATTGAAAAGGAATTGTAAGATATTGCATCCCTTCCTTAGCTGCATCTTGTTTACTCTGAGATAGAACAATAGAAAGGGAACACTGGCAGACTAAAAAAAGAAAGATATCTAGCATCATGGTGGCAGGGATATACTCCTTCAAGTGAAAATGAAAATGAGGGGAAATTCCTCTCTAGTTCTCCTCTGGCTATTCTGAAGGGCATGGAACAGAGAATTGCTCATCTATAACACAATTATCATGTAGTCATTTCCTTTGAACCATCTAATGCAACATGGTTTAGAGGCTTTTATTGTCCAACTTTCTGTGTCATAATGTTGTTTCAAGATTTTTTGTCTGTATAATAGTAACGATATCAACTAGTTCCAAGTCAAAAGTTTTTGTTGTACCAAACTGCAGATATGCTAAATATAATGTAGTTTTTAATAGCAAAATAATACAACTCGAGCTGAAATAGCAGCCTTATTGAAGATATGGATCCAACTCAAGCAGATTTAGAAGTATATTTGGCAAGGGAATCTCCACACAACACAATCTAGCGATTTTCTCATTTCATTAAGTAGCCATCTATCAAGTCCATGCAAACCTCAAAAATATAACAAGAGTCATTTTAATAGTGAAGACATATGCCATGCATCTGGGAGTAAATTCCTGGGATTCTCTGAGGCAAATAGAATGTGTTACGATTGAGGAAAAGCAGGAATTATATCCAACACAGAGCAATGGCGGTCAATGTAGTGAATCGCGAGTGCAGAAACATGCTTAAAGAACAGATGAGAGATTGTATAACTACTCATTGTGATAATATTACATCAAATGAAAACCAACTTTGGCCACTCTATATGCAGATATGCATACATATATTTATGGGGTTAGGTTTTGCTATGGTGTTATAATACTTGAATGAGACCAAGATGACTCAACTGAGTTGTCTTGGTCTATGCAGTCTCCTCAATGAGATTGAAACACAGTATAGAGCTATAGATCTAAGGCCAAATGACTATGACTTGCCATGTACAGGACCTTGACTCCGCTGGATTGGCCAATATACTGCTGTCATGCAAGACACTTTGCAGACATCTCATGACTCAGTTTGTCACAACACTAGTAGGTGAAAAAGATCCCTTCCACTTCTTCAACATCCTGACCCTCTTTCCTTGCACTTTTATTTTTTATTTTTATAACATTTCCAATGTCTACAAAATAAACAAGTAGCAGTAAAACTATCTCACTTGCATTTCCAAACAAATTGGGTTTATCCAGTTCTTTTTTATCAAGCTATCAAACTTCAAAATCCAACACCTCAAAGATTATTGGAGGACAAAATAAAGTCCTGGGTGCTTAGGGAAAAATTAATAATAATAGTCCCGGGTAGTTGAGTTGGGTTTTCACCTAAAAAGAATATTTTGAATTTGATTATACATCAAGCCATAAATATATTTGTGATGTGTATGTGCTTTATTGATGGAAACTTATTGTGCAACATTTTTATTACCGGATTGTATTGAAATTAATTATCCTGGAACTTGTTTAGTAGCACTCATATTGATCTTTTGGATAATGTTATATGTGCTAGATAGTATATTTTGTTTATTCTATGCATGCATTGAGTTGCTCTGGTATTTTTTTTAAAACCCATAATTTTTTTACAGCTGTTTTGAACTTTATATATAGTGGATCACTGCGGATCATCAAGTATTAATTTGTGACACATTGAGTAACCTCAGTGTCCACCAAATCATGACCACACTACCAAAATTAACATTATGTTATGGAAGACAGTTCATAAGATAATACGTTAAGATCCATTATCAAATATTCACAGGATATTACAAGTTTACTCATTTTCATAGAAGTGTCAAGACTAGTATTACTATCCGTTTAACTTTTTGATAAGTCAGTGGTTTATAAACCCTAATTTCCCAAATAACATAAGAAAAACAAGTTGTCATGTTAATATCATTTCTGTGCATTGGTGTTTAATATGATAACAAATGCCTCTAGAACGCACAACAAAGATGAGATGAAGTTTACTGCATTATTACTGTTCCTTAACTGTCACTGTTTTGTTTCTCTCGATAATGAACCAGTCTTTTTTTTTTTTGCTAGATAGATCTAAAGTGTTCTTATCCACAATATTTCAACATTTTAAAGCATGGTTGAACAGAAAATTTTATTCATGCTACTATCCACTAACAAGTCAAAAGGACCAAGACAGAGAACATAAAGGTGCAGCTCGCAGAACTATGATGAGTGAACCAGACTATCATATAGCGTAGGAAAAAGAATGGCGTTAAATTACATAGAATAAATGAACATATACATGTACACCTATATGCTTGCTTATTTGAGCATACGATTTCAAGGGAGCAACATGACCGTACAAGGTTATAACGTCATCAAATAATTCAGGTTGGACTTCAAAGCTGAAGGCATGAGTCACAAAACGTGTGATATTATTCCAATATAATTTAACATGAATTAAATTTTGAACCTCCGCACTACAAAATGGATGGTCAATGCAATGCAATGCAAAGTTCACAGAAAGGACACCATAAAAAAATCAGTGAAGAAAACACATACATGCCTGTGCTCATAAGCTTAGAATCCAAACTGGTTATCTCCTTCACGAAGCTATTTGCCTCCGAGACATCCTGGTTAGAGAGCATGGGACTGGCAGAACCTATGAAATGATAGTTTCGTGACATGTAATAAGCAGAAAGCATGTACATAACAAAAGAAAACCTATAAAAGCACTCGATGCTTGACAACAAAAGTTCAGAATATCATTTCTAGGATGAATTTATCTATCTCAGTAAGCTCATTATTTGAGTTCAAGATACTATCACCATCCACACAAAAAACCAATTACAACTAAATAACGGGTAATGTTTGCTTCTCATTTTAAAATAATTGCTTTGCTTTAGAGAACAAAACTCGGAACACATTCACTCTTGAAACAAATGAAGTGCTCTTAAAATAAAGCATAAAATTTAACTCCACAAGCCTAATATCCAAGTAATTTTAAGCTATGTTTGGTATCATGGAGTTGGTGCATTGGATTTGGAATTGGAAAAAAATTAATTTAAAATTTGAACTAATTTTCCTCCAATTCCAATTCCATGCTCCCAAACATGACACTAACTTAATTTTTCCACCATTTTCTTGGTAACGAAAAAGAGGATTAGCATATCAATAGCTTGAACACTATTAGCGACAGATTCAGATTATTGTATGACAATAACGAATTCAAGAACGAGTATAGGCATAATACATCGTTATAGCACAAAAAAGAGACTAACCAGGCATTAGTGCATTTTCGGAGAAGTAGGTGCTCTTGGCGAGAACAGGTAACAGCAAAAGAGTCAAAACCCCACCGGTACAACAAATGACACTGAAGAACACACATCAAATCAGCTTACTCGACACAAAAACCGTCAGATTCATTTGAAAATCAAATCAAACCAAACAATCTACGATGAGTGTGTATGTATATGTATATATATATATACATAAATATATATATGTATATTTGCAGAGAGATAAATTACCTCACAAGGAGGCTGTGAGAGATAAGAAGGATGCCAATACGGACGATTGGTCGAGATTTCTTTTTGGGGGGCTCACTTTCCGCCATGACCTCCAATACACGGTGATCGGCGAGGAGTTCTTTCAGCTCTTCTTCTACATCGATCTACTCCACTTCTTCATCGCTTTACTCCTACTCTTTCAACGATGTCGTTTTGAGAACTACTTACTTCTTCGAAATTAAAGTACGACGTCGTGTCACACTACTTTACATTTTATTCATTGGCGTAATTGGCCCTGTAATCTGGTGTGGTGAGATGAGGAGAGAGGGGTTTGCATAGGATTAGGTTGTGAAAACATTATGAACGTGTAAACCAGTCCTACAGTCCCTTAATATTCAAAATGAGAACCAAAAAAATGAAGCTAAAACATAATATTGGAAAAGAAAATTATTCAAAATTTTATGTTTTTTTGCTATCCGAGTTTTTAAAATGTTAAAAAAATAATAATAATAATATCTTTTGCTTTCTTACTATTTTCATCTAATTAAACGAAATCCTTATATTTATTTATTTATGATTATAAATCATTTAATAGATTTTTGTATCAAAGTGATTTATTTATGAGAAAGGGACATATTAATCAAGATATAATTTATCTTTTTAGCAAAAATATAATGGATGTAGAGATTGCAATGTGATTCTGGATTATATTGTATTCTAGTGATGACATGAGGATCCTTTTATACATAATCAACATGAATAAACATAATAAATAATTATAAATAAACATAATTATTATTTTTCGTCAAGAAATATAATTATTATATAATTATAATTATTTTTAATATAAAAATGACTTATTTATTCAACTTATTTAATTAAGACGTCAATCCGAATTTTCACGAATACAATAAAACAAAACTAATATCTATACTTGATAAGGATAAAAATAATACGCAACTCAAAGTCAAAAGAGAAATAAAATAAGGGTACGGGATTTATCTTACCCAAAATCTCTATGGAATGATAAAAAATATCTAGTTATCATATGTAACCAGAGTTACCATTCCTGTAAGAAGGAACGATATCATCTTGGATCAGGGAGAATCTCGCATTAACAACTACTACCATTAATGCTTCTATAAAAGAAATGATCATTCAACCTAAAAAGGTACGTCATAAATTTCATATGTAATCCTTATCGGATATTTAATCGTCGAGTACTAACTTGACCGTCGGAGTGCACCCGGCCGGCACCACGCTGGTCATCACTTCTCTTATCTTGCAAGAATCGTCACGGGCTCCGGAGCATGTAGATTTTTGGCATCAACAGTTGGCGCCGTCTGTGGGAACGTATATTAGTCCCAACAAATCATGGTTCGACCAAGGGAAATCTACGACAAAACTTAAAAGCAATTCAGTCATTTTACAATCTGGCTTTCTCTAAAAGAAAGAGAATAGTTCATGGATTGCGTGGCCAAAAGCAAGGGTACAGTTGCTCAATCCGGTAAAATTGCTGGAAAGCCCCACCCGACCGCTAGCAGTTGTTTCATCATCGCCGTTAACCGGGTGAGTTTCGTGCATTACGCGTATATCAAAATATATGTTGACACTTCCTCACATGATTTAAAGAGAAATAATTTTTTATATGTTTCCAATTGTCTGCAAAATATTATTCACCTACATAATGATGTAGTTCACCTGGGGACCCTTCGATAGAATGCTACGATTTGTGGGTACTGTTTACAGGGTTTTAAAATATATATATATATATATATATATATATATATATATATATATATATATATATATATATATATATATATATATATATTCTTATTCTAGAGAACAATCGCTAACTCCATTGATGATTTTGGTCCTATGATACTCAATGATAAATTTTTTCCTTAATTATACCAATTCTAATATATTTATATGTATATATATTATTCGTTCAAACTGTACATCTATTCTTTTATTTTTGCTTTGCTAACTTTGCAATTAGAAAGAGAACATTAGTGTTCCTTACGCGTGAGAGGCAAGTTTGGGAATGGGGGCAGAAAATTAACCTCTCTTATTAAAGATATGAGCTTACGAAGCTCTGGAAAATCAGTCTTCCTTATCAAATAGATGAGCCCACGCAACTATCGAAAATTAGTCTCTTATATTAAAAAGATGAGATGACGAAACTCACGAGGATGAACCTCCCATATTAAAAGGATAAGTTCATGAAGCTTGGAGAACCTACTCCCTTTTTAAAGGACTAGTTGAATGAAGCTCGTAATTGTCATCCTCGTATTATAAGGGATTAATATAAAAATGTCCCGTACTATAAGGGTCCGAGCTGAATGAAGCTTGTAATTGTTGTCCTCCGTATTAAAAGGGGTCGAAATCAATTTGTAACATATACTTCCCTTTTTAAAGGGCGAGCTGAGTGAAACTTGTAAAATATATTTTCTTTTTTAAATGGCGAGTTGAATGAAGCTCGTAATTACCATCCCTGTATTATAAGGGATTGATATAAAAGTGCCCCGTACTATAAGGGCCAGAGCTGAATGAAACTCGTAATTGTTGTCCTCCGTATTAAAAGGGGTCGAAATCAACTTGTAAAATATACTTCCCTTTTTAAAGGGTGAGCTGAGTGAAACTCGTAAAATATATTTTCCTTTTCTAAGGGGCGAGCTGAGTAAAACTCGTAAATATACTTCCCTTTTTTAAAAGGTAAGCTCATTCAGCTTAAGAAAGCTTACTCCCCCAGCTCATAAAGTGCGAGCAAATCTTAAGAGATCAACCAAAAAAAGGTCGCCCAACAAGGGTTAACCTAAAAAGAGATTGATTTATGCCAAAGAGACGTCACTAAAAAAATTACAACACTTTGACATTCTCGAAGCTTGACAAGCAAGCACGAGGATGGGGGGTAACTGATAATGTAATACCCCGTATTTTATTAAAGAGTTTAGTTTATTTAAATTCATTTATGTGTGGATTTCTTTACCTATTATTGTGCATGCTACATTGTTATATTAAGTTCATTTAATGGTGCATGTAAATTAATTGTATATGTTAAAATAGTAAATTTATTCATTTAATTGTGCATGTATTATTATTAATAATTTTATTTGTTGATTATGTTTAATTAAGCATTATTAGTTAATTAAAGTATCATATTTATGTTATAAAGTATTATGATGATATAATGTATTCTTATGTAATAATAATAATTATTATAATAGTTATTAATAATAATAATAATATAATAATATTAATTATAATAGTTATAATAATAATAATAGTATTAAATCACAAGTCATGATGAAATTAGAGATTAGGATAGGATTTCATTAATATTTATATGTAGGACTTGAAGCCATATGGTTGGGAATGTGGTGAGTTTAATGTAAATTTAGATATTTGTAATATTTATATTATTTTAATTTGTATAAATATTAGTTAGTTTGATGAGAAGGTAAGTTAGAAACCAATTTAAAATAGTAGAGAGTTGTTGTTAGAGGTAAGAAAGAGAAGAAAGGTGAGAGAGAAAGAAAGGAGCTTGGACCGGTGTAGGAGAAATTTACCCGACTACGCACAACCGGCGGATTTATTTTAAATCCAAAAAGGCAAGTTATTATCTACTTTTCCCCTTTGAATTAATAAATTAATTGTTTAGTTTATTTGTATGCATAGAGCCAAGGTTAGTAGATTAATAAATTATAAATTTTATCTTATTAAATTAATGAAATTTTAATTATATAGGATGGTATATATTTATTTAATATCCTATGAAATTAATAATGGCCGAAAATAATTAAATAAAGCTTCAGGGATTTTTCTAGATTTTTCCGAGGCTTTTCTGCAATTTCCGGCGACCTTCCGGCGAGTTTTCCGGTCGCCGGCAATGGGGAAGATGACCGGAGTGATCCGGTGTGATGCGGTGCACCATAGGAGGGTATGCGCGCGCATCTGGACCATTAAACAGCAGCGATTGATCCGGTGCACCGCGGTCCATGTTACCGCGGTACACCCGGATCCGTGAGCGTTGGATGGAGGGAAGGTAGGTGGATTGATCCGGTGTGGCGCGCAGGTAGGAAAGGTGATGCAGCCAACCAACCGGAGGACGCCACGTTTGTAGGAGCCTTCAACGCGCGCGTGGGAGCGCGTGCGCGCGCGTGGAACTCTCCAGACGCGCGTGGGAGCGCGCGCGCGCGCGTGGCTGATGTCAGACGCGCGTGGAGGAGCGTAGGAGAGTGGGGAAGGTTGGGTTGCGCGTGGGGAAGCTTAGGGCGGCGCGTGGGGGCGCGTGAGGGGCCCTGTCAGCTGCTGGAAATTACCAGATTACCCCTAGGGCCTGTTTTGTAAATTCCAGAGCCTTAAACTTGGATTTTTAGGTACGGGGTTGGTATTTACGGGTTTAACGGGCCACGAAATTATTATTTCAATACCCGTTAAGTATTATTAGGGCCGATTAATATTTCTAAACCTTAATTGGCCGTTTACCGTACGGATATGAATGTGATTCATTTGAACAACATTACTATAGGTGGTGTTATTATTTTATTAAATGGTATTCATTAGTACTGTTAATAATGTCACGGTTATCGTCATATAAGTTATCCATTAGATGTTATTGGATATTTATACTGTTAATCATATATCAACCATGATTATTATGCTGTGTGCATTTCAGAGAATAAATGGACTGTTTAAATTATGTCGCATTTATATTATATGGATGTGTTGCCATATAGAACCATGTGAGCTGACTAATAAGTTTAGACTCATTTATACCTTATGCATTCGTTGCTATAGACAGATGTGTGGCTGTCGGGGTATGTGGTTTAATATTATTGGCATGTGTTGCCTAATTGACATGCTCAGTATGTTTAGTAATATTATTGGCATGTGTTGCCTAATTGACATGCTCAGTATGTTTAGTAATATTATTGGCATGTGTTGCCTAATTTATATGCTCAGTACATTCATCAGTACTTTGAGAGGTGTTATCATTGTGTAGTTCGTTATAGTCTGTGTTGTCAGTACCGTGCACCATGTATAATAGCTGATTTCCCGGGTAGGGAAAGGCGACACTTAACCACCTAGTGTGAGTCTAAGTGATCACCGTCTATTCTGGTTGAGGTCATGTTATACATTGGATAGTTCCCTTAGGATGTATACAGATATAGTACTCAACCGATTCATAATGATTAATTTATTTGATTCTCTGATTTGGGTCATAGTAGAGAGGACTTGCTCGTGGGGTTGACCCACCATTGTTGTTATTTCAGGATACGGTCAGTACCCGTTCCAAGGTTGAGGTTAGCATTGTGGGACCACCATCCGAACTCATCTACTCTTACGATCCAGTTCAGGGTATAAGTTTTATGTATTACTTCAGTTTCAGTTTTTATTTACTTTTGACGTTGAACTCTCAGGGTTATATTTAGGGATCCTTGACATAGGATTTCCAAGTTGTAATGAAGTACTGTATTAAATAAAGGATGGATGGATGTTGTATTATTTAGTGTTCCTTTCCTGTCTAAATTCTTCTATTATCATCATTTTGTATTCCATGCTTGTATATTGCCAATTGTTTTTGATATCCCTCGTTTTTCGTGTATAAGCCTGATCAACTTATGCGTGGAAAATGTTGGGGGTGTCACAGATAAGGATAAAAATAATAGGCAACTCAAAGTCAAAAGAGAAATAAGATAAGGGTAAGGGATTTATCTTACCAAAAATCTCTATGGAATCATAAAAAATATCTTGTTACCATATGTAACCAGAGTTACCATTCCTGTAAGAAGGGAACGATATCATCTTGGATTAGGGAGAATCTCGTTTTAACAACTACTACCATTAATGCTTCTACAAAAGAAATGATCATTTAACCTAAAAAGGTACGCCATAAATTTCATATGTAATCCTTATCGGATATTTAATCGTCGAGTACTAACTTGACCGTCGGAGTGCACCCGGCCGGCACCACGCCGGTCATCACTTCTCTTGTCTTGTAAGAATCGTCACGGGCTCCGGAACGTGTAGATTTTTGGTATCAACAATACTCATTTGTATAGTATTTGAGTGAGCTGCCATTTATTGGGTATTGCTGCATTAAGAACAGTGTATACTTATTAAAGAGTTCCATAATGTTATATTGTTACGTTTGAGAATCAGAATAAATTTTTAGTGATTTGGTGCTCCCAAAATAAAATCTCTAGTTATTTATGAAGTTAAAATAGCCTTGGGGGTCATCTGAAACTTGGTGAAATTTGAAGGGTTTTTTTGGTGCATTTTCCTATTAGGTAGGTGTAAAGGGTGGATGCTTGCTCATTTATTAAAATTTAATCTATTAGATAGTATTAAAACCCTTGTTACAGTCGAGCAGCCCTGCCTATCAAGAAGGAAGACCCGGACGCCTCTGGAACGGGTGCTACATACCCACCCATTTTTACACATTTCAATTCTCATTCGAATTCGATGTAAGACAAGTCTCACTTGTAACCATCTTCCACCAACAGGCTAGTGGTCTAACGGTATTAAGTCCTTACTTCTCAAAAGAGGTCCCGTGGAGACATGTGTGTGTGAATACCCGACTAGTAAAAAAAAAAAAAAAAACACAAAAACATTCTTCCCCACCTGAACTCACGCAAAGCCCTTAATCAAAAAATAGGTCTACTTATGATACCACCAATAAAAAATGAACACCTAACCGCTTACAAAAAAAAAAACTTAAATTGTTCTGCGGACCGGCTTATTTATTCACATTTCAATTTTCATACCCATACAATTGGAACACTATCGATATGATGTTCTGTAGACTGTAGCATAGGTCAGTAACATTTATACAAACCGGTAGACCACAAACGATGGACATCACTCACCTGCTACACGTTGTTTGAATTACCAAAAGCAACCATAATAGTCCTCTAATTTACTCCATGGCCGTATCTCTCTTCAACCCCCAACTTCATGTCCGCCATCATCGTTCGAACAACAAAGCTCTCTCGGTCTTCAGTCCCAAGATATCACATTTCAAAACCAACACCAAACTCCGATTCCAGTTTTCAACTATACCCAACAAGCATAGATACAAATGTTCCTTTTCTCCGAATTTAGCATCCATACTTGAATCCTCGTTGCCCAGTATACTGAGGTGTGAAGGCAAAGAAGGTGGAGATAAAAAAGTTGAGCTTTTGGACATAATCAAGAGATGGGTGGTTTTGATTCGATCGGTGTTTCTCGGTGGAAGTTGGTGGAATTTATACGAGCCCAGAGAAGTCGAAAGCACACCAATGGCGGTGAAGCCGATTACTGTTTCGTCTGCTCTTCGTCAAATGTGGGCGTTGGTTGAAAATGATAAATGGGTTATATACACTGCATTCGGTTCTCTAACCATTGCTGCGGTAATTGTCGTATTTAAATCCATATCTTTACGTATTCTAGATGCGATTGAGCTCAAATATGGCTATTATTCACACTCAATTTACATGAATAAATGATATAAAGTTATTATGTTTTGTGTTGAATCAAGAGGCAAAGGTAATACCACTGTAGTACAATGGAATTTCTAATTTTGAAATAACTGGTTGTCAAGTTCAGCTTCTTATGTCATATCCTATAGAAAACCATATATTGAATTCTTAATTCATGTTTGATGTGATTCAGCTAAAATGTAGTTGTTATATGCATAGAGTGATTTTGCCTTATAAACTGAAGTCAGATGCTTCGGAAATGAATTGTGTTGAATCAAGTTGCAACGCTAATACCATTGCTTAGTACCATTGCTTAGTACGAAAGGCTAAGCATGGTACACTTTAATTTTGTTAATGAAATTTGAAATTTTGACAACATGTTGTCAATTTCGCCTTCTTATTTACATTTTTTTATGTTCTTTCTTCGGTTTATTGTTTTCCATGTAGATCACTTTGTAAGTTATGTTATCGTTGTGCAGCTTTCAGAGATATCAATACCAAATTTATTGGCAGCTTCTATCTTTTCCGCACAGAGTGGTGGGATCACAGAATTCTACAGGAACTCGCAGCTCTTGTTTTTGTTATGCATTACCTCTGGAATATGCAGGTGCAAATTCTTAATCATTAACCTCAGGTTGATGCCTTTATGTATTATTTTTTAGTGAAACCAATTAGAAGGAGCTATTTCGATCAAGTATTGTGATTAAGGTGCCTGGTTTTATACCTATCTTAATGTGAATTTCAGTGGTTTGCGAAGTGGGTGCTTCGGGATTGCAAATCTGATCCTGGTGAGTCCCTCTTAGATTTTCGAACAATTATCTTCCTTAAAAAAAGGCCATTGTCAGTGTTGGTCCCACCTATTGAAGGTACTGGGAGGGAAAGACTGGATACAAACCTGACTTTTCATACTTCAAATTTGATAATTTATCTTCCTCTTTTGGTAATTTAACTTTTGGAGGGAGGAGGAGACTGTTAGCATCATACTGCTGCTCCTCTATAGACACAATGGTCCATTTCTATCAATTATGCCATTCTGTCACGAAACAAGGTGACGATTGCATCCAATTCCATATGTCCTCTCATGGTACGCTTGATTACTATTCTCTAATGAGCCCAGAGAATGCAGGATTATTAGCTTTGTAGGACTTAATTTTCATTTGTTTAAAGTTATACCCCCCACAGGGCCACACCCTTGAGGAGATCTGTAACCTAAGGCCAATTCAAAGAAAGTACTCAAATCTATCATTTGAAGTTTCGGCGTAGCTCCAGAATTTTGTCATTTCTCTCTCTCCATACAACCATAATGGGGACGAGCTTTCAACGTATTAACCAACAACAATTGAAGCAATTTGTGGAAACCTGATTTATCTACACTTGGAGCATGAAAAAGACCTTGTAGCCTATGCTGCCCTGAAATGAATGAGAAATGGTTTATTCCTGTTGTGTTAGTTTGGCAATGAGATCCCACCATCAGGGCTTCAGCATCCATGTACAGATACATTCCTGGATTTGTTCCCATGGCTTCACGCTCTTCTTTCTTGAGTCATCCAAAGATTTCAATATGAGAGACGTTTATCAATGGATAGGTTGGGAACATGGCATTCCTCCCCTACCCTGGTCCTGGCTTAAGGGAGAAAAAGATAAACGCCCCAAATTCCTCCCTGAACCAAAGTGAGCCAAAAACGGTTTGAAGAAAGTTTACTTGGGGCAGTGCGGGTTACCCATCTGACATATATCAATAAATTTTGAAACTAAACTAATGACATGGCATGTTTGAGCTGCACACCAGAAATACCACCAAAGCATGCATAATTACCAAAAAAAATCAAATTATTAACTTTCAAAATTTGAGAATCACACCTTGTGGCTGTAACTGCCGTAGTGTCTGGTTGCATGGCTGGCTGTAGATTTGTTGCTCAGGCTTTTTTCAGAGGCACAGATCTCCTTTTTCACTCCTAACTGGTTTGGGATAGAGCATATATTGTTTAAAAGAAATAATATATAAGACACTCCAAATATGCGCACATTCAGGGCAGAGCAAAGCAGGATTGATGAAATCATTTTCCTGCCCCAAACTTAGTCATATTCCCCCACTCTCTCCATATCCTACTAACCTCGACTCTTAAGCCTCCCTATTGCAAACTTTTGCATACCCCCTTAAATTATTCTGCATTTGCAAATAGCCCCCTTGAACTTCAAAAAATCCCCTAAACTATAAAAAAAAGAAAAAGAAAAATCAAATTACCCCTTTTCCATAGTACAACTTGATGAAATTACATAACTATCCTTGAAAAAGGAGAGTGAAAAAATTAAGCTAAAAAATCGTTTTGAAATAAAAAATTGTCCAAAATTGAGTTAAGACCATAGGATCTACTATTGAAATAACCCTACTCTTGTGCCCTTATATGAATCGCAAAAGTACATCCCCGTAAATATTTTGTATGCCACCATAAATATTTTTGTATGAGACTAAGTTGGTTCTGCATAAAGCGCATATTGGTTAAATTGTAACCCATTTCCGTCCATTCGGTAATGGAAAAATAACCTTGATACAAGATAGTGGTCGTTCACAATAGCAAATCGTTGGCTGTCTTCACCCTATGGGTTGGGACTTATGAGACTACAATGGCTGCAGGGTTTAACAATTGTGCAGGGGTTATTTGCCAAAATTGATAGTCTAGGGGGGTTATTTGCAAATGTTGGAAAGTTGAAGGGGTTGTTTTGTGTTTTATCCTTTTAAATAATTTAGCATGTGTCTACATTTTATAATCATTGATCCTCCTTGCTCCATGATTGTTGATACCTTTTGCATATATGCAACAATATGTATCCTTTAGAAAGTTGTTCAATGATTATTATTTTTATTTATGGTCAGAGTTAATGTGACATCACCTAGTACTTCCAACAATATTTGCAGCTTAAGCGTCTGAGGGAAAAGTTATACACAGCTCTCATTTTTCAGGTTTGTACTTTTAGTGAATATGCATGTAAGTTTCCTTACAAATTCCTCCAGCATGTTGTGTTTGTCAGGTGCTTAGGCGACATATACGTTCATTTGTTCCAGCATTATATTTTGGTGGTATTTTTTATGTAGGATATATCTTTTTTCGACACAGAAACTGTTGGTGATCTGACGAGCAGGCTTGGCGCAGATTGTCAAAGATTGTCTCGTGTTATTGGAAGTGATCTGCATTTAATATTACGCAGTGTTCTTCAGGTTTCAACTCTTCTAAAAATTTCTTCGTTTTCCTTGAATTTGCCTTCAGTTTTTAGTGTAATCTACAGTTGAACTATTACTTTCAGGGGATCGGTGCATTGACTCATTTGATGACTTTATCTTGGCCTCTAGCATTTTCAGCTTTGGTGATATGCTCTATTCTATCTGCAATCTTTCTGATTTATGGCCAGTAAGCATCCATACTTTCAACCACCTTGCTAGACTCATTACATTTGTCTTTCCAATACTGAGTTCATCTGACAAAGCATTTAATGTTGGTCATCATAGAAAATGGTTGGTTACTTATTGTAATGTGTAATTAGTTGGTTCCTACTGCAACTTAGTTTGATCAATTCCTTATGATCGAGGTTGCTCTTCTTTATTGTTCATAACTTTCAGAATTAATCCATTGTGTGTGAATTTTCCCGTTAAGACCTTTTTATTCTTTGAGAAGTGTAATGTTGTGGCCTGAATTTGGGGCCGGACCACATTGCGACCTGTTACGACCAGTTGATTGTTTTGACCTGTTTTTTGCTTGTGGGTCATAGACCCTATTTTGTACTCTCTTTTAGCCCGATATATAAGGGCGCTTAGGGTTTGGAGTGGGATTATCGAGAGACACTGAAAATCACAGAAAAGTGAGTGTGAGCGACAGCTAGGGTTTGGGGGCCGAAACTTGTAATCTCCAGATTTTTCCATAGTGAATTCTTTTGCCAGATCTTCATCTTGGATGTAGGCTTGTTGAACCACGCTAAATCTATGTGTTCTTTGTGTGGCCAGTTTTTTTTCTGTCATGTTTCTTGGTTGTTTTTTGAGTTCATTGTGTTTCTCGTAACAAGAAGTGTGGGTAACAATCTTTAGTCCTTGCATGAATAACAGGCCATGGTTTATGTGCGGTAAACTCATTATTTGTGAAGGTGTTTGATTACTGACTTCTTGCTATAGTTCCACTGCAAGGGCAGTGATCATCTAGCTATCACTAGCTTCCAAGAGCGTAGATCACAAATTCAAGTTGAACAAGGACTTCCATGAGATTTTCTGTCTATTAAAGAATCTACATATTTTCTTCTTTGTCAGATTGGGGATTGCTTCTTTACATGAAGAGTGTTTTCTTTGTTTCTTCTCTGCCCCTTCTCTGAAGAAAACTTCCCTTTAATTTACAGGTTCTTTTAAATTTTCCTTTAGTTGGCTGAGATGCTATGGCCTTAGATGGAGCGGAATGAAAAATTAGGATTTGTGTAGCTGACTCCAAGTAGGTGGGAAAATGCTTTGTTGAGTTGAGTATTTTGTAAAAGACCACCAGTCTAAAGAGCTGTTATGTGCAGCAAACTATCAAAGTTCTTTGTAAATCATGTGCAGAAAAATGGATGAGTTAACTGTTGTGACTGCTAGTGGAGGGATATTAACTGCATACTGACACATCATGGAAAATTTTATTGCTTCCAGTTGCTCTGAGATTTCAGCCCTTCTATTTGTAAGGATGCCTTTACCTTTTTATGGTTTGTGGAACCATTACTAAAACCTGTGACATCGTGTAGGTACCAAAAGAAGGCGGCAAAGTTTACCCAAGAGTTCACTGCTTGTGCCAACAATGTAAATGAAAAAAACTTATCTAAAATTGTTTCCTGAATTCTGTATTTTCAATTACCTCTGTAGTTATTTATTTATTTTCATGTTCTAATTGTTTTTAATTTGATCATCCCCCTTTTTTGGTGTCAAATTTTAGGTTGCGCTAGAAACTTTTTCTTCGATGAAAACTGTACGAGCTTATGGAACGGAAAGAAAAGAAATTGGAAGGCAATAATTATTACTAGAATATTTCTGTTAATTATTAATGATTCTGTAGTTTTTTTCTTTCTGATATATACCCTATACAAGCAAGGTACAATAGTGGTACTGAAGGTTGACATATATGCATTTTACTGGGTGATCATAGAAGACTTATATGATATATCCCATATGCTTGCAGGTACAAGCAATGGCTAGAAAAATTGGCTTTCATAAACGTGCGAGAAAGCGTTGCTTATGGATTCTGGAACCTGAGTTTCGACACCCTGTATCGTTCAACACAGGTATGGTCCTTCTAATGGCTTTTAAAACATATTTAAATAACTTCCAAAATTAAATTCTGCTGGTTGTATAATATGACTATCGAATATGGAATGTAAATGACGATATGTAATTTGTTTCTACTTTATTTGTCAAAATAATTTTATAGGTTACTGCTGTCATGTTAGGAGGAATGTCTATTCTGGCAGGTCATTTATCGCCCGAGCAACTTACTAAGTATGTCTTATATTGCGAGTGGTTAATTTTTGCGGCTTGGAGGGTGCAAGACAATTTGACATCATTACTCCAGTCTGTTGGAGCAAGTGAAAAGGTTTTTCATTTAATGAATTTATTGCCTTGCGACCAATTATTATCAGAAGGCAAGCACTCTTTGACATATCTTGGGTTTATTTTCTTTTATTTATTTACATTTTTATATAAACTTTAGTTAATTCAGTCAATGAGCCTTAATTGTGCTATTTTCACACTCTTTCATTACATAAATGTTGTTAAGAGCCCCCTGGTGTGAAAACAAAAAGTTTGTGACACTGAACTGGACTCTTGATGGATAAAAAAAAAAAATCAGAGTTGCTCCTAAAGACTGCTCTCTCTTGGCTGGATGTTGGTCCAGCCTACTACGAGGATCCTGTACCCAGCAATCCAACGTATGCAAAGGGCATCAAAGCCCCTGTACTAGGTTGGAGCTATGAAGCTTACCTTATTACCATGAAAAAGGGGAAGGGCTTTTTCAGCTGGTGCACTCTATATGTTTAGATTTATTGTAAGATATGTGGGGAAAGCTTGAGCCTTTAAATTCTACATGCATCATTTACTTGTGTTATTATAATGTAAAGTGGCCTTAAAGACTAAGACTCATTTATATCATTTGTTACCTTTTCACGCTGTTAATGTCATTATCTTTTTGTTCACGACCCACTTGTATGAAGAAATAAAAAAGAGTTTATGAATTCTGATGTTTGTAGAATGTGAATATTTTCTGGCTCTTCATGATCAGATAGTGAAAATTTTATTTATCCAATGAGGTTCTATTTGTTCAATTAGTAAGCTGCTTCAGATATTGGCTGTTGCTTTAGTTATGATTCAATTTTTGCACTTCGTTTTAACTGTTCACTTCTACAATCTTGGTAAGTAATAAATTCTATTTAAGATTGTATCTTCTCCAATACCATTCCTAATCAAGTTCTGATTCACTACTCCAGTTCTAAACCTCTTCAGCCTTCCTCATGAGTTCTTAGTAAATGCAATAACTACTTGAGAGTGCATCTTTGTATACATTAGGGTTCCATTTGGAACATTTTTTATATTTTGTTTGCATATTGTTAATTTTTGGGAAAGGTTTTTTTGTAGATCAAGTATTACTTGTTTGATTCTCTCTCAGATGATTACTAGGGTTGTTCATGTGTGATCATTGCTAATGACTTATCTGTGTACAGGAGTGAAATTGCAAGGTCTGATGGGACATATTGAGTTTGTCAATGTGTCCTTTTCCTATCCTTCAAGAATAATGGTATTTCTCTTATCCTTATCAATGTAATTTCCTTTTGTTCCCTTGATGTGTTACAAGTGTTTCATCATGTTATTCACATTGCTAAATGGTTTTGAGAACACTTCGTTGTAAAAGCATGTGGTGGACATATCTTTTTGTGGATTTTGCAGATACCGCTAGTAAAGAGCCATGTGAGCTCCAGTTGGATCAGCTAACGCAACTGCAATTTAAAAGTGAAAATGGTTTTGACTTTATATTGAGAATTAATGGATAAATTTTATAACATGCCAATGGAGAATCCTTTTTTTTCCTCATGTTTTTTGTTTATCCACATACCTACTAACATTTATGGATTCAAAGTCCCAAGCCATATGATGGTGTGGAAGAAATCTCGTGTAAAATAGAAAAACCTGTAAATAATCGTAAATGATTTTTTTTCCCCCTTAGAAATGCCTTCATCAATATGTTTATGCTTTTAACTTTTAAAAATATTAAAATAATTCATCTCATCTTGTCAGTTTTATGAAAAATATCATAAAGTTGAAAATTATTATATCAATAGATGCTAAATCCGTAGCAGCTTCATTTAGAAACTTAAATATTGTAGCAGTATAAAAAGTAGTAATTTCTACTTTGTTTGCTTTCAACGATGCGTGAATATATTTATTTGATCTTCTTACTTAAAATAAAATTTTCAGGCATTAGAAAGGTTAGATATCCATCGCACTCCTTTTTTCCTTTTGGCACAATTATGTAGTGCAATCACTCTTTAACACATTTTCAGATTTCAAAAGTGTAAGAGGACAAAAAAGGAAAAGAAATAAAACAGTCCATTATATGTTCTGTACTGTTGGATCTACCTAATCAATTTTTGTCAATCATACTACTTGCTACTAACCAATTTGATGTACCTCGCATTTTCATGACATGTTTTATTCTCAATACTTAGACACTCAGTGTCTAAGACTACCAATGTAGCAGTTCCTTTGTTAGGCTCCTCATGGATTTTCTATTCCGCTCCAGCAAAAACTTCTGCTTCATGAGAGGCAACATGTTGTGGCATACTTGAGGATCATTCCCATCTGAATCCCATTCATTAATTTTAAGAGACTAGAGTATAGCACATGTATAGGATTTTCTTAATCGCCTTATTCTTCTATCTTCTCTTTCTTTGTTATTAGTATTATTAGCATTTTTATCTGGCAGGACTGTTTTATTTGAACCGATCCTTATGTCTTACTCTTTTTGATGCAAAGGAAGAATTCATTCATCTTTACTTGTAACATTTGAACAGGTACCCATTCTAGAACATGTGAACATCTCTATAAAAGCTAATGAAGTGGTTGCTATTGTAAGAAATGTCATTGCTTATTTATTATAATTTTATTTGGTGCAAAAATTTGAATAAAAAACTGCATTTCCTAATTTTGCGAAGGTTGGTCTCAGTGGTAGCGGTAAAAGCACTTTTATCAATCTCTTGCTTCGTCTCTATGAGCCAGCCAGCGGCAAGGTAATCTACATTTGCTTTGCACATGTTCTCCAACTTGGAGGTTATTAATAGTTTAATGGAAAGAACTGATTATCAATTATTAAACCATTACTCAATATGTTTTCTACCTGTTGAAACCACTTTTTTTTAAAGCTACTTATAATTGTTTTTTGCAAGTTGTAGTCTTTCTCAAACATCTTTTCTTCAATGTGTCTGGGAACATAATTCACCTTGTAGTAAACCTCTTCTCACCTACGGTGGGGGTGTGAAATTTTTTTCACTCATTGGTCAGCAAGTCTTTTATTTTCTGGCAAATCACCTTCATCAAGCTGCTGAAAGCTCATTCAATGACGTTCACCTTGAAGACCCACCTTTATAAACAGTGAGGAAAATGTATGACATCGGTCTTAACTCTTAAGTGATGCATGCTAATTTTTCTTCATACATTAGAAATGTCTGGCATTAGAAAGAAAAAAAAAAAAAAAAAAAAAAAAATCAGCTTTTATTTTGACCATCTTGTATGAAAGGGAAGGTTACTAAAAAACCTGCAGATGTATTACTTGTGCATGAGGGCATTAATTAGCAAGATGACTTGAAGCCATGTTTTTAGCTTTTAATCCCTATGTCAAGCTAGCGTTAAACTTTTCAACTTTGCTTATTTACCATGAATAATTTGATAGACCATTTTTGAGCTATCTCAAACATTTCTGGCTTCTTCTTGTTCTCTTTTTTTTTCCTAGTTAGCACTCACACACGCTTGTCTCTTGTGAGACTTGAACCCTTGACCTCCCTTTGGGAAGTAAGAGGCTGATACCGCTAGGCCACTGGCCCGTTGGTAGCTTCTTTTTGTTCTCAAAATGCTTTCGAGAGTAACTTGGACCTGGCATTAAATAGAACCTCTAAATTTTATTTTCCGCGGTAACTGAGGGCTCAGTCTTAATATCACGGAATCAGAATTTCCGATTATTTCTTTGACTTCAAATATATGATACCAGATATTAGTATGAAACTTACTCTACCAGAAGTGCTAGAAAAGACAGAAGTATAACTTGAAATGCAATATGGAACTTCTAGATGTCTCTTTTCCCTAGTATACTTGTTATTGCCACTTTGAATGTTGAATAGTCGAGTTCATTTTCTAGTATATGCATGTTATGCTTAGTTATGTTACTTGGCAAGGATGCCTCATATTTACTCCAATTTTTGGTGCATCTGTTCAAACTGTTCATGAATTGCACAGTTGCAACTTATTATCTCAATAAATGGGAGCTAAATGGAGCAAAATCAGTGTGTCATTACTTGTTAAACAATTGTATTTCTCATGATATCAGTATTTGCATTATATTTCAAAATTCTGAGACTGCATGTGCATGAATATGTATATGCCTCCCTTGTGCATTAAATTTTGCTATCCTGGACATTTATCAAATTGGATTTTACATGCACAAGTGCCTGTCTATTACAGATTTTAATTGATGGTTTTCATCTCAAAGAGCTGGACATCAGGTGGCTCAGGCGAAAAATTGGATTTGTCGGACAGGTTAGACTAGATAAACTGCTAGCAAAAAGAAAAGAAAAAATTCCTGCCAGACATACTTGAAGCTAGCCACGAGATTGCTCTTTGTAAACGTTCTATTTTATGCAGGAACCCCATCTTCTTCGTATGGATATCAAGTCAAACATAACTTATGGTTGCTTTAGAGACATCAAGCAGGAAGATGTAGAATGGGCTGCGAAGCAGGCTTATGCTCATGAATTCATCTCCTCCCTTCCCAAGGGTTATGAAACTGTTGTTGACGATGATCTGCTCAGCGGTGGACAAAAGCAGCGGATTGCTATTGCTAGGGCTATTGTTAGAGACCCTGATATTCTAATCCTTGATGAAGCCACCAGTGCTCTGGATGCAGAAAGTGAATACTATGTCACGGTAAGCACTTTTGTCTCACTTGCAATATTTCTAAATGAAAGACTGCTCTGCCGCTGCTGATACATCATTTGCTAAATTATCTATAGGGTGTTCTTCATGCTTTTAGAAATGACATTAATACAAAAAGAACTGTCCTTATCATAGCACATAGGTGAGTTTTCTTGCAGCACGTGTTTCCTTTGTAGTAATGGATTAGATTTGCATTTTGATGATCCACCCTTGTAGGTTGTCTACAGTAAAAGCTGCCGACAGAATCGTGGTAATGGATGGTGGTCGAATTGTGGAGGTACGGTTGTTTGCTTCTGTATCCAAGATAATAAGTATTGTTATTTCGACAGTTGAAAATATAAGTTGGTGTCCCATATGAACGAACCTCTGGACACTTATTCAAAGTAGTATAGAAATTTGAAATGGCTGATGCTTTTCTTAGTTTTCACTAACACGAAATTGAACTTGTTGATTGTTATTCAACCAATTCAAGTTGGCTCCAAAGTCTTCCTACTTGAATCCTCATTTTTGTTATAGTACTCTATTTAGGGCCATATCTATAATAAACTATGGACGATCGCATATTTTAATGCGTAAACTCGGTTTCTTATGCTCCTCCTTCTGTCCTCGCAATGCCTCCCATCTTTTTAAATGGGATCCCTTTGTACTTGTGAAACCATTAGTATCTGGAATGCGTAACCTTGGTGATACAGGTAGCTAACCACATGACAACATGCTTCCCTTTTGTGAGCAATGCTGTTCGTTTTTCTCATTCGATATAGATGATCATGTAGTAATTAATACGTGGACAATTTGTTTGTGCAGATGGGTACTCACATGGAACTTTTGCACCGGAATGGATTTTATGCACGGTTAGTGAAAATAAAAGCGGATACCTTAGCTTGAAAAAGGACTAGGAAGGTTTACTTCGGTTTCCGTTAATGCTAATTTTAGGCTTAATCACTTAATAATCTACACTCGAATAGGGTGTTCAATATCATATCTCCATGTATGATTCATGTCACGGCTGAATACCTCATTATTTGAACTGATTTTAGGTCCCTGTTGGTCCGTTAAATTTGCTTTTTCCCAATTCCTCGTTCCGTTGTGTTGACCAACTATTCGAAATTATTCGAAATGTGTGATCGAGTATTTAAAATAATAAAAATTATTTTTATATGATGAACATGATCATAAAATAATGTCGCGTGGTTCAAAATAATGTCGTGTGGTTCAATCTCTTCCTAATGTGCACCTTTCTGCCCTGGACCAGCTTTTGGCCCTCCCAACGATTCTCTCTCATTTATTAATTATGTTCAGCTTCAAACCCATCTTCATAGACTTGGCAGTTGAGACCATCTGATCAAGGCGGAGAAGTGTTAGATAGCTTTAATGCATTTGAACATGTATATATGATTTTGAGTATCAGACACTTTAAGTTGGACCAACACTTCCAAGTTGAGTATTTGATTTTGTAAACTGCTGATGAATTGGAACGGTGAGTGACATTCACAAATTATGAGTATCAGACACTTTTATTTCTTGATAATAAAAATCTTTGTTCAAAGGTTACTACATTAGTCAATAACGGCACAATTGCAATCAGAATCTAAAAAAGAATCTTAATCTAATAGGTGACATAAGCTACTAAAAGAGCTTTCTACTATTTATATAAATAAATATGCTAATTAATTAATAAGTGACCGAATAGGGCCGATACTTCAATGCCTTGGAATATTGGATCTTGCATTGCTTGGACTGATCACCCAACATTGATTTGTTGGCCGTTGTGCTATAAGAAAATAATAGGACCTTCACATCCTCACAAGCGACCCTCATATTCATCCATCTGATAGTATGTTTTTACACCAATTCTCACAGCATTATTTATGATCACTGTAAAATTCATTACATCACCATTTTTTGACCAATCCGCCACCAAGATATCTTTGTTGGCCCATGTTTTTACACCAATCCTCAGCATCATCTATGATCACTGTAAAATTCATTACACCAACATTTTTTGACCAATCCGCCACCAAGATATCTTTGTTGGCCCAACAAAGGTTGATCAATATTACTGCAACGCTCATCTTCCATCTCTTGATAAAATTAATCTAACACAAAGAATGAAATTCTTGATTGAAGCTAACAACCCGTAACAACTATATATAGGGATAGATATATACAAGGAAGATGTGTGTGTATATACATGTTTGATTATAAACGGACATGAAAATAATTTGAATCATATTATGTTTAGGATTAAAAAGAGGTAACATAATAAACTTAGGAATTATTTTTAATTACTTTCTCTTTTTTAAAATAAGTATCATGCTTTTTTTTTTTTTTTTTTTTTTTTTTTTTTTGTCTGTTTTAAAATAATAATCAATTTTTTTTTTTTTAAATAATATATTTCACATGTTTCCGCATATGCCCTTTGAGTTTAAAAGACTCTATATAATAGCCCTCTAATAGACACATTGCATCCGCGCCTTGGAAGATTTTTTTTTTTTTTTTTTCAAATTCAAGCAAGCTTAGAAGAGATAAAGAATGATATAAATAGTTTCCAAATGAAATTACTGTTAATCAAAGTTTAAACCAAACAAAACGGATCTGTCAAACACAAATCACATTTGTTCTTTATTCTCGGTTGATCTGAGTTTCCTCTCTTAGTAAGGGTTCTCTGTTTTCAGAGTTTTGAGTTTCTATGGGATGGATTTCATTCTCAATCCCGGCAAAGGTTTGCATCAGGGGTCGGTCCCGATGGCAAGTTGGATCTTGTGGGTTGTTCGATCGTGGGTTTTGAATGGTGGTTGGGTTTTTGGTTCCTTTTTACTGGTTTCCCTTTTGATCCCGGTATTGGGTTGGGTTGCTTGGCTTTTATGGTCGTTATACAGTTTTCTGGCCCTTAAATTGTCCGCGCCGGGTTTTTGTCTATGGTCATGCTTGCTGAGACCATGCGTTCTGGGTTACGGTTGGTTGCTGTAAAGGAGTTCCTGTTGTTGGCTTTGCATTTGGGAAAGTTGCGTTGTTTTCTTGGTCCTGCGTGCCGGCGTTTCTCTCTTGTTTCGGTTTGTTGCGCGTTGGACGTGTTCTTGAAGCAGGTTGGCTGCTCATTTCTCTTGCTCTGTTCAGAGCTGCATCTCTTCCGGCCGCCATTGACTATGGGTCGTGGTTTGTTGTTGCCGGTCGTCTCTGTGAGGCGGGTTTTCCTTTGGAGCTTTGGTTTTCTTAGGTTTTTTGTTCTTGGTGGTGGTGGTGGTTTGATTCCGACGATGCTGTCCCTGCTGGTAGTTCGACGGCAATTGGTCATCTCCCTTGGTTTGGTGATTGTGAACCCCTTGGACTTGCTGCCGTTTTGCTGAACCTTTGGCCGCACTTTGTGTTCTGATTCCGGCGAGGGTTACTGTGTTGGGTGGGTTTGCTGGTTGTGGTGACGCCGTCATGACACGTCGCTCCCCACTGCTTATGGCCCATGTTTTTGCTTTTGTGTGGATGATGATGCAGCTTGTGTTTTTGCTTGGCAAGGGCCACGTCTCGAGTCAGTTGGTGGGACATGTGTCTTTTTCCAGTGTAATGCATGTTTTGTTTTGTGTGGTCACAACTTTGGTATTTTGTTGGTCCTTCGGCTTGGTATATTTTGGGTTGTTGGTTTGTAAGTGCCGTTGAACTTTGTGTTTAGCAATGATAAAAAATTAAAAAAAAAAACACAAATCAAATGTGACTTCAATTTAAACCCTAAGAATCATAATAAAATACAAATCAACCAAGACGAAAAAAGAGAGTGTAATACCACAAATCCTTAAATCATGTGTCAAATATAATGAATTTGTCAAATACGAACAACGAAGAGGAAGAAAAAAGAGAGAAAGATACCACTAATCGGAACTCCGGCGACGTTTGTGAGGCTGCCGGTGGCGGTGGCAGTCAGTGAGGGTGGAGAAGGAATTTGGGAGTGTCTCAAAGTCTTTTTGATGGCTAATGAATTGGAAGATTATTAGGGGATTTTATTTCAACCTTAAAAGAGGTTAAGGGGTAAATTGTAAATTTGTTAGCTCAAAAGTCGGAATACAAATATGTTATTGTATTTATTTTTCTTAATAATAGTGAATTAAAAGTTTTTCTCACAAGGCTAATTTGGTATGGAGGAATGAAATAAGGTAGGAATGGAATGAATTACATAATGGAAATGAGACAATTCTCTGGTTTGGTTATGCATGGCTTAAAAAGGAAAACTAATCTATATATATAAACCAAATAAATAAATAAATATATGCGTAAATATATATTTTCAAAAGGAGGGAATATAAAAAAAAAAAAGTTGACCTTTATTGGATTCTCTATTAGAGCTCTGAATTCAAAACCCAACAAGCCTCCCGTTCGGATCTACTGACTGATTCAACAGTGTAGCGAAGCCCAGAATTGGAGAACTGAAGCCTCTGTCTATATTAAGATATTATGAGTAGACCGAACCTGTGGCTGATTATTTGAAAAATCTTGATAGATCAGAATTTCAACTGACATATGAAATTGAGGGTGTCGGGGGGTATGGAGGGGGTCCAAGTTTTTCAGAATCAGAAGCCTTCAGCCAGGTAAAAGAACTTGAATGGGTTAGCCATTTCACATATATAGGAGACAGAAGTTTTGCAATTGGATGCTCCTCTCCAGAAAGCTAGGGATTGATTCTGATCTATGATAGGATATTACAAGGAGTGACTTCGCTTCAAGCGTGGGAGGAGTAACAACAAAGACGCATGAATCGGTGCGTAGAGGAGGGTATGCGCTTGACTTAATTGTATATTTTCAAAAGGAGGGAATATAAAAAAAAAAAAAAGTTGACCTTTATTGGATCTTGTTATTTTAGAAAAATCACATCTAAAACGATTTTTAATATTATTTTTACGTATTTTTTTAAGTGGGGAATGGAATGCCCATTCCTCTGGTTGGAAAGTAGAATGTTTTTTATGGAATGACCATTCTCCGAGAAAGGTGGAAAATAGGCATTCCATCTTTGAAACTACTTTCCAAACAAAAAGAAATGGAATTAAATGAAGTGGGAATGGAATGTTTTTGTTTTCATTTTTTAATTTGGTAACTAACTTTAGAGTTGGAATGATAATTTTTGCCTATTTTCCGAGAATGGTGATTCCCACTAATTCATTCCACTTTCTAATTAAAGGAATGACCATTTCATTCCTACTTTTAAAAAAATAAAAATAAATAAATGAATAAAAAAAATATTTGATAAAATGTTTTACAAAAATATGATGTTTTTCTGTTCAACCAAACATGAGATCATTCCCATTCATTCTTTGATTAATTCTATTCCCACTTTATTTCATTCAACCACACCAAACTAGCCCTAAAAGCATTCCATTCCACTTTATTTTATTTCATTCCCACCTATCAAATTAGCCCTTAATTCACCGAATACGTACATACTTTAGTAATTAGTAATTAATTACCTCTACGTTATTCTCATACTTAACAAGTGGCTCCCAAATCACCAAGATGGGGCCAGAGCTTTGCTTAATTGATCAGCATTAGTTGGGTTAACCCTTGTTTCAACAATGGATAGGATATCCAAACTGTGCTCTTTAATAAGTTTCTTCATCTCTCTCTGCTTTAGGGAAAGATTCAGACCCCTAATATTCCATGTTGCAAGATTGATCGTTAAGAGGTTTGAGGATTGAGACCTCTTGGGATGATTAGTCCCTTTGAAGTAGGACAATGAAGACCTGCAATTTTCCTACCTTTTTTCTTCTTAAGGCTGACTTCCTTTCTCCTGTTCAAATTGATGTTAGTTGGGAGGCTAGTGGTGGATTCAGCCCATCATTGCACATCAATTCATCATCAGAACCAGTATCAAATAGAGCACTGAACATATTGTTCAGTGGAGTGTAGTAGGAGGGTGAGCTGACAACATTCTTGTTAGTATTTGGTGCATTACCAGGGAATGAAGGGATAATAGAGATGTTCAACTTCTTCTCCATTACAGTATTGTGGGCGGACATAGGGAGTGGGTTGGGGTTAAGTCTTCTTTTTGTGGTTTTTGGTGTCTAGTTTTTGATAAGCTGGGATTTGGATGAAGAGGGAAATGTGGTTGAGGGCATGTGTGGAGAAGGAGAAATAGGGTTAGGACATCTACTGATGCGGTTTGTGGTTTTTGGTGTATGGTT